CTCACCCAGCTGTGTCTGGAGAGAAGCCAGGGTATCGGCTTCACCAACAGGGCTGGGCAGCTTGTTCCCCACTCCCACCCCCCTCTGTGTACAGTAGACCCTCCTGTCCTGACTGGAGGAGCTCACCCAGCTGGGTCTGGAGAGAAGCCAGGGTATCGGCTTCACCAACAGGGCTGGGCAGCTTGTTCCCCACTCCCACCACCCTCTGTGTAAAGAAATGTCTCCTGTCCTACCAGGAGGAGCTCATCCAGTTGAGAGAGAACATGAGAGAACATGGCTGGGCAGCTTGTTCCATGCTCCCACCACCCTCTGTGTAAAGAAGAGTCTCCTCACACACATGGAGCAAGTATAATAGCAACTAACAGTTCTAAAGTGGGGGGCATGTGAGATAAAGTCCAGTTGAAGCTTTCACAAGGGGCTTGTTTATAAACAGAGTTCAGGATGTACAAGTGTCCTCTTCCAGCTGATGAGGAAAATATATCAGGGTGTAGAAGTGTTTACAAAAGTCAAACTACAAAGAAAGATGTGTGTGTTTTTAAGATGCCCCTGTCAATATTAATTTCACAGGACAATGATACACCTGCTGTCTTGTGCAATTGGTTTCCGCTCACAGACCTTTCCTGAGAAGCCATGTGATTCTGCAAAAGTTGGTGTAAGATTGCATACTAGCAACACGACAGATCAATAGCTCAGTGTTTATCTAGTGTATTTTAATCACTCTTTTTCCAAAATGGAAAAACCCGGTAAAATATGGTCTGCGGTGCTTTTATGTCTTTTTTGTGCATTCTCACTGACTCGCCATTTGTAAAGTCTAGGTAACGCTCCTACTATAGACATAAACATATGAGTATTCTTTTCAACAGTGCGGGGAACAGCAGCTGAGAAATGTCCAGAAATCCAGAGCTATCCGAGATTACTGATGGCTCAAGAAATGGTTGTTCACATTGAGAGGTGGGATTTAAAAGTCGATCGTGGGGAGAATTAAAAATGTTTTTCTGCAGGTGACGTTCACTGGTGGCAGGGCTACCTTGCAGCGCCGGGGCCCTGGGTTCAACTCC